CTATTTTTTAGTAGAGACAGGGTCTCGCTCTTGCTCAGGCTGGTCTCGAACTCCTGAGCTCAAACAATCCGCCCACCTCAGCCTCCTAGAGTGTTAGGATTACAGGCGTGAGCCCTTTTTATTCTTTTTATTTTGATGTTATTTATTTTTTGAGACAGAATCTTGCTCTGTCACCCAGGCTGGAGTGCAGTGGCGTCATCGCAGCTCACCGTAACCTCCAACCTCTGGGCTCAAGTGATCCTTCTGCATTAGCCTCCTGAGTAGCTGGGATTACAGGGCTGTACCACTGTGCCTGGCTAATTTTTTCTATTTTTTAGTAGAGATGGGGTCTCACTTTGCTCAGGCTGGTCTCAAACTCCTGACCTCAAGTGCTCTTCCCGCCTTGGCCTCCCAGAGTGCTAGGATTACAGGCGTGAGCCACTGCGCCCCAGCCACATTTTTTTCTTATCATTTCAATTTATTTTATAAAGAGCTCTTAGAATTGTTTAAACTTGGCTTACCATGTGTCACTGAAATGGGAAGGAAAAGATGCATAGAATGAATTGGCTAGGGTACTCCTAATGTTTTTCATGACTTCTAGTGAATCATTCTCTGGCATGATATCTGTGTCTGTGCTTCCCACGTGGTGGTAACTTGTGAGCTTGGCCATCAAGGGGTGATGCAGCCTATCATAATGTTGTCAGGGTTTTCTCCCATCCAGTGAGGCTGATAGCTGGGCTTTCTTACCTGGCATATAGCAGGTATTCTTTCTATGTGGCTCTCAGTGACAAACCAGACAGCTTCATTGGCTGTGCAAAAAGAGCGTTAAAGACAGAATAAAGAACAGTTAAACTGAGCATATATTTTAAGATGGTGCCGAGGACTCAACTGCAGCAGTGAGGATCTGAACAGCTGTGGTGAAGTTCACTTGTGCACAGGCAGTGATGGTATGTCACAGCTGCGACCTAGTTGGTGACATCAGTTCCAAGATGTGTCTCATTTAGAGGTATGAAAGTGTTTTATAAAAAGTCTGTCTTGAAATACATCAAATATGATAATGCCAGGTTGGTTTTGTACATTTTAAATATCTTTTCCCCTTCCCCTTCTCTTGTGTTTGTTAACTTTGTTAGGTCATATTTTAATGTAATTAAATTCTTCAGTTTTTTCCCTTGTGGACTGTGCCTCTGAAGTTTTATTTAAAAGTTTTCCCTGGCCAGGAACAGTGGCTCATGCCTATAATCCCACCACTTTGGGAGGCCAAGGTAGAAGGACCGCTTGAGGCCAGGAGTTTGAAATCAGCCTGGGAAACATAGCAAGACCCTGTCTCTACAAAAAAAAAAAAATTAGCTGTGTGTAGTGGTATGTACCTGTAGTTCAATCTGCTCGGGAGGCTGAGGCAAAAGGATTGCTTTGCTTGAGCCCAGGAGGTTGAGGTTGGTTTTGGCAAAATCCCCGGACAACATAGAAAAACCACTTCCCAAACTGAGAGGGAATCAAGAGACCAAAGTATGGTCTGACAAGTCCAGCTTGATAAGTTAGATGAGTTTATAAGAGGTTACTTACCAGGGTATTGCTCCTGGGCAGCACAGGAATTTCTTCCACAGGAGCTTGTGTGCAAAATCTATATCTGCCCACCCTGTGGTGTTGCCTTAAGTCTCTTCCTGGTAAGTGACACAGAGCTTTTATATTTTTATTTATTTATTTTTTTTGCCTTCCCTCCCTCCCTCAGAGCTTTTATATTTTATCTTTGCTTGTTCACAGTGAGACAAATCACGTGTGCTCAGTACCCTCATGGTGCCCTGTCATACAATCCATGTTATGCTAATGGTATTACAATTCTCCATTAGGTGAGGATTTTAGTATTATAATACAATTAGCTGAAGGGCATTGTAGGACCAGCCAAAGCAGCTCTAAAGCAGTCAGAGCCCAGAGCCAGTGGCTTCAAGGCAGGCAAGTACTGAGGTCCCTTGGCATCTCCCTCCCCAGTAGTTATCTTGGTACTTGCTTAATCTACTTAGTAGCAATTTTGTTGCTGAGCATTCCAAGCTAGCACAGCACAATGTTTCTGTTATTGTCTCTTTAAAAAAAAAAAAAAAAAAGTTCAGCTCTATTCCAAGGTCATTGAGATGGCCTACATGTTCTGTGGATTTTATAGTTCATCTTTTCCATTTATACCACACCTTCACATTTGTGTTAGAATATAAGTAAAAATCCTGTTTTATTTTTGTCCGAATGTTAAGCTATTTCCCCGACATCATCTACAAAACAATCCTTTTCCTGTTGGTGTGTAGAACCACCTTTTTCATGTATGAAATGGTGTGTTTCTGAGCCCTGTTCTCTTCCCTGAATCTCTCTTGTGGGCTAGCTTCCTGCTTTTTGTTTATTTGGCTTTGTTTTGGGGTTGTTTTTGTTTGTTTG